GCTTGGCCAACTGGGGGGGGGGGGTCTGGGCTGATTGCATTGGCATATTGCGTTTTGCATTCTTATGTGCACTTCCTGCATTCTTTTAACCAGTTGCTCGTCTCAAGAGTTTTGACATGCTCCCCTGGCTTTCTTCCTCCTTTCCTCCTTTTTTGTGGTCTTTGTGTGTGTGTGTGTGTGTGTGTGTGTGTGTGTGTGTGTGTGTGTGTGTGCGTGTGTGTGCGTGTGTGTGCGCGCATGTGTGTGTGCATGTGTGTGTCTGAGTTCGCCTGCACATTTCTCATGCAACATATGCCTCATGTCTGCTGCACGCGGGTGCATGCCTTTCCTGTCTGTCTGCATGTGCGTGTGCATGCATATGTCCCATCTGTGCATGTGTGTTTGCATGCCACGCCTCTTGTTCTTGTGTTGCACTTTCCGCAGCCATTGAATCGTATATCCATTCTAGCAACCTATGTGTATGGTAAGTGGTCCATCCATCCATCCATCCATCCATCCATCCATTTGCCCACCCACCCACCCACACACCCACCCATCCACTCATCCATCCACAACCAATCCTCATGCCCGATTGTGTCCTCTCATGCACGCATGCCTTTGCTTCACCTATGCATGTGTCAACCAGCCTGTCCACTGGGTGGCGTGAAAAGAAAGAGACGAGAAAGGACAAGTATGTTACATGTGTATCGATATGTGCGGGTGTGGCGGTGTGTGCAGATCTGCCGGGGGCTGTACCGGACCCCATCTGCCATGAGGACCGCGAGCTGCTCAGGCGGAAGCTGGTACAGATGGATGATGAGCTGCAACGCACTGTGAGTACATACTTGAGGGTTGGTATGAGGATTAAGTAGAGGTAACTAAACACACATGGTGAGTGTAGCTTGGAAGCTGGTGCAGATGGATGATGAGCTGCAACGCACTGTGATTCGTTGGAACCATGCGTATTCTGCTTGTGGGTGCATCATCAGTGCGATGTGATGGATTGTGGTTAGTGTCACTATGATGCATAGTGGGTCCAGATCGATTGTAATGTGCTCGCAGCTTAGGGCGTGTTCCTACAGCCTCATCAGGAAACCTCGTATCAAGAATGTACTTTTTGCCTGGTAAAATCAGCAAGAGGTGTAGGGTTTAGGGGAATTTTCAGTGTGAGCCTGATACGAGGTTGTCTTGATACGAGGATAGGAACACGCCCTTAGTGATTGTGGTGTGGAAGCATTGTGGTTGTATAATATATGCGTCTCTCTCACTCACTCTCCGCTTGCGTCTCCTCTCTCTCTCTGCTTGCCACTCCTTTTCCGGCTTGCATCTCTTCTCTCATTCCTATCTCCATCTTCTCAACCTTTCTCTCACCTTGCTTATACAGTTAGCTCACCTTCCTCTCGCCTTTCTCCTCCCCTGTATTGGCATTGGCACCCCGTTACATACTTTGTGGTAATTGTCAGAGAATCAAGTGCTTGCCATAAATGTCCGTATCACGTGGCTGCTACAATGTGACATCAGAGCAGCACTAGTAGTGATACCTGGCTTGTTAGCTTCGGAACTATGCTTGAGCATCAGTTGCTGACCAAAAGATAACTTTGTATAGTGTAGAGATTCAAGTGCTTGCTTTAGCCTCTGACCCTCATTTCATATTGCTTTGCAAGAAAATAATGATCTAACATTAATCAGAGAAATTGCATGAAAAGTTAGCATAAATAGAAAAAGGAGTGTGCCAGCAGGTTAGTGGGCGATGGGTTAACTCTGTAATCCTACGTTTCTACATAGCAAAATGTAACTGCCAAAACATCAAAGAGCAGGGTGTAGTAGTGTAATTTTACTGCCGTAACAGCTGTCAACACTTTGGCAGAACATGGCTCCTTCTAAGCGCTTCACCACAAGCAATTTGGTTGGACATCCACAATCGGATTCGTCAGGCGAGTGTCACTGTGTCATGGTCATGACCATCTAGTCGCAGGGGGAGACTGTAGGGTGGGAGGGCGCAGCGCAGTAACAGAGTCGGTGGTACACCTTGCGGTTCACTTAAGGGCGTATCTTTGGTTCGAGTCCCGCACTGTTCGTGTCATCCGAGATTCTTGGAAGACTAATCAGGCGCATTCTAATTACACTACTCGAATACCATTGGTCCTCCCATGACCCAAAGTGTATTGAGAGCCCAAAGGGCCTTAAGACCCGAAACAGAGATACGCCCTGATGTTCACTCATATATATTAGTGGTGCTGTCCGAGTAATCGAAAGGGTGTGTCTGATCAGTTTAGCATGACCCACTTCCCTACACTACTCACCCAAACCACAGAAAAGAGACGCGGTATTGCACTGTAGTGTTTTGTGGCTTTTATAAGCAACGATCCCATTCCATCCTCCCACGATCGCAAACTTCACAGAATTTGGTGTACTGTTCGCCATGTGGCAGCGCCTGCCGCGTAGAGCGCAACTGGTTACCAGCTGTCAGAACAATTTCAAGTTTCGTTCGACACGCGGATCTGCGATGTTCCCAATTCAGCTCCGAGTATTGGGACGGGACGAACCTGACGTGACGGGACGGGACGTGACATGACGTGAATCACGTGACTGACTGACAGACTGACGGTCAGGCCACTCTTTTCCCCCATCCCGTCAGTTACTGTATCTAAAAATCAGCTTTCAGGTTGTCCTCTCCTGCAGAAGAATCAGGGCGTATCCCTGAGTGGTGGCAGGGCCGCTGTAGATGGCAGCCTGCCACGAACACATAAAACGCCAGGTTGGCGTCAGGAAATTTGGCGCGCGAATACAGGTGCATGATTGGGCAATGTCCCAAAAATGTCACTTCAATGCCACCAAGTACGAGTCGCGCGCTCCTCGGTAAAAATGTTGGTGGCATGCGGTTTTCCCGCATGCCACTAACTCTGCCATCACAGTGGCCCTGCCACCACCCAGGGATACGCCCTCAGATGCACTGTTGAGCACAACACAGATGTCCAGAAGATGAAAGGAGACGAGAGGAGGGGAGAAAAGCAGACAGCTGACAGATACGTACATGTCAAGTCGAGTCTCTTGAGCAAGTAGCTCAGCCGCGGAGAATCAATGACCAGAATGCCTCCGTGGCCGCCTTAGTAAAATCGCTGCCGTTGCGACTAAAGGCTCGAGGCGAGGCTTATCGCGAGCTTAGCCCTTGTCCCCTCTTTACTCTCCGTGCCACAATGGTCAACAGCCGTTGCTCTTGCGTCTCGCATTCCTTTATTAAAGATGCCTGACAGCAAGGGGATGACATTGAGGAGCCAATTAGGGATTCCTCCCACCATTCTGCTCCCATGCTGCCCACGTAATTCTCGACACGCACTGGTTCCCTCTCTCCCATTCTCGCTTACCGTCGTCCTACAATGAGGTTATTTAAGTAATGGTGTTGTTCTCGTCTACAACACTCCAAGTATATCGCCTAAACAGCTCGCACTCACGTCAATTGTTGGGAACGAAATCTCAACAACTCCGTGATATATAGCTCCAGCACACCACCTTGGTTCGTTTCATACACGTTATAAGAAAAAAGCCATCAACCCGCCGTTCTACAGCACGCCGCAATGGGGCGGCAGCAGCGGCTTCGCCCCCGCGTGCAGCGGGTATCATCCCTCGCAGGCCTCGTCGACGGCATGGTTCGCATTATCGACGAGACCCGTCGCGTCGCCCCGCGCGTACCGGTCGACCGTTCCAATTTCATCACCATGGCTTTTTACCTCAACGACTTGCGCGACGCGCTCTCGCACGCCAGCCTGCGCGGAATCAGCGTCGGGTGGAGGTCGTTAAGTGGCAGCGCGGGGGGGAACAGCGGCGGAAGCGGGGGGAGCGCAGGCAGCGGCGGAAGCAGCGGCAGCAGCAGTGGGGGGAACTCGGGCGGGGCGGGGGGGGCTGCGACGGAGAACAAGCAAGAGCAGCTGGCTGGTGATGCGGAGGTGCATGTGCGCAGTCGGAAAGGCGCGCGGAGAAGCCGCTTTGCGCTCCCCGCGTCCATGTTCGCGCGGAGCAAGGGAAAAAGGGCAGGGAGTATAGGCGAGGAGAGCGAGGTCGTGGCGCCGTCGCCGGAATGGCGGCGCGACTCCTCCACGGGTTCCGATACAGTCACATCGTCGGATGTCGGGCCGGCGATATCCGGACCGTCCGATGGCGGTGAGGCGGAAGTTACCAGCGCCGCCCCCCCCTTCACCCCGTCCGCCTCCACCGCCGCTGCCACCGACTCCGGTAGCGGCAGCGCGGAGAGGGATAGCGCCGCCAGCGCCGCATCGGCCGCCGCAGGCGACGGCGCGACCGGCGCTAGCGGCGGTCGGCAGCAGCCGCTTCTCCCCGCTGATGCGCGCGCGGCGCTGGAGGAGCTCCAGACGACGGTCATGGCGCTGCGCGACGCCACGCGCGAGGCGTGCCGCGTTGCGCGGCTGCTGCTGCTACTAGACGCGGCGGCGCGCATGGCGGCGCTCCAGCGCATGGTGCGCGCGGTGGGGGACGCGCTGAGCCAGCCCGCGCTGCTGTCGCTCATGTCCTCCTGCCTCGCGCCCGCGGACGCCGCCAAGCTGTCGGAACTGCGCGCGCGCATGCAGGCCGCGTCGTTCGAGGCGGAACCGGAGGTGGCGCAGCTGTGCGCGCTGCTGAAGCGCGCGGTGATGAGCACGGGGATCGTGGGCGGACTCGTCAGCACCAGGGGCGGCTCCGTTTCCGCCGCCGCCGCGCGAGCCTATGGCGACGGGCAGGAGGCTCTATCGAAGGTGATCGTACACTTAGGATTAAGCGAGGTAGGCGGGGAAGGGGGCGGGGGAAAGGGAGCGGAGGGGGTTAGCGGGGGAGGGGGCATGGAAGGGGATATGGGAGATTCAGAGAAGAGAAAATCGTCCCAGGCTTACCCGCAACACCACCACCACCACCACCACCATCATCACCTCCATCACCAGCATCAGCAGCAGCAGCAGCAGGGGCAGGATCAAGAAGAGAACGGCCCTGCGCGGTCCGCTCTAGCATTGCCTGTAGCGATTCTTCTCCAGGAGGTGCATTTAGACCTAGCTCTAGCCAAGGAGGTGGAGGAGAGGAACCGGGACGTGGAGAAGTTACAAGCGCTAGAGTGCCTCTTAACCATCTTGCAGGCGCATGTAGGGGTTGTTGAGATTCCACCAGCCTCGCACTCTCAATTCCCGGGAGCCGTTTCTGTTTCTGGTTCTGCTGCTGCTTCGGCGGCTGCTGCGTCGGGTGGTGCTGGTTCAGGCACAGAGCGCAGTGCGATGGGTGGTGGGGGTAGTTTTAACAGTAGAAGCCTGGCGGCGCTTCTGGGCGGCGGAGCAAGGGGGGAAGCAGGCGGGAAAGAGGAGGGAGTAGGTAGAGGGGAAGCAGGGGAGAATGCTGGCGCAGGGGCAGAGGAGGGAGGTAGGATAACGCGGTTCCCTCGTGGTTACAGCACAACGGAAACGGTATCTGCTGCAGGAGGAGAAACAGCACCAGCACTAGCAGCATCAGCACCAGCAGCAGTGTCTGCAACAGTTGTGCCTGCTGCTGCCTTTCCTCCCAGCTCTTGCTCCGGCTCTGCTGCTGCTGCTGCCTTTGCTTCTGCCGCAGACGCCCTTTCCGCTGCTGCTGCTGCAGGCGGACTTCCCCCCTCCCCCTCTCCCTCGCTTCGGCCGTCCACCTCTCTCACAGATCAACCACCTCCTTCGCCTGCTGCTGCTGCTGCTGCTGCTGCTGCTGCTGCTGCTGCTGCTGCTGCTGCTGCTGCTGCTGCTGCTGCTGCTGCTGCTGCTGCTTCTGCCGCTGCAGCTGCCGCCACCGCCACTGCTGCTGCTGCTACTTCTAGTGATGCTGCTGGCGCCATCGCTGCTGCAGCAGCAGAACAAGATGATGCTGCCACTCACGTGGCTACCAGCCATGAACCTCCCTCTCCCACTGCTGCCTCTCCCACTACCGCTCCTGCGTCCACATCAGCTGCTGTTGCGGCCGTTCGTGCCGGCCCAGGCATCATCAGAGAGCGAGGGAGAATGAGCAGCAGGGAGCGTTTCCTGGGAGCCAGTGTGAGGGAGGCTCGCTTGAGTGCGTCTAGCAGACTGGCATCGCCTCGCGAGCCGGGTGCAGACACAGATAGTGCCTGGGGTGCCCCTGACGCTGCTGCTGCCACTGCTGCTACTGCTGCTTCGGCTAGTGCTGCCAGTGTTAGTTTCAGCATCAGCAGCGACAGCGTTAGTAGTGCTGGTGGCATGAGCGGTGGTGGCGGTGGTAGCAGCAGCAGCAGCGGCGGAATAGCAGTATCAGCGCGGAGGGCAGCAGGGCAGCGCATGAGGAAGTGGGCGTCTATGAAAGCAGCGCACCGAGCAGCAGCTAACACCAGCGGACAGAGCAATAAGTCTACATCAGGCCATGAGTCCTCTGGTCCTGGCGACCGCCCTGTGGAAACCCCCGAGGGGCCTGTGCTGCCTAAGCTAGCCTTGCAGGTGCAGCGCGAAATGGCTAGCGAAGTGAAGCCGGAGCTGCGCTGCGCGTTGACAGGGTTACCGCTGCAGCAGCCGGTGGTGCTGGTGGAGAGTGGGGTGGTGTTTGAGCGCGTGGCGATCGAGGCGTATATTGCGTGCGTGCGGGCGACTGGGGGCGGGAGAGAGGGGTTGAGTAGCAGGGGTGGGAGGGAGAAGGAGACGGGAGGTGGTGGAGGAGGGGAAGATGCAGGAATTTCCGCTGCTGCTGCTGCTGCTGCTGCTGCTGCCGCTGCTGGTGTTGGGGGTGCAGGTGGTGATGGGGATGTTGCAGCATCAGCCGCAGCAGGAGGAGGAGGTGGGGTTGGGGGGGGTGCGGAACGCAGGCTAGTGTCTGTGAGGAGTGGGGACTGGAGGAGGGGCATGGGGAGGAGCATGGGGAGGAGCAGAAGTGTGACAACACCAGACAGCGCCAAAGCAGGGTCACGAGCAGCAAAAGGAGCAGCAGCGGCAGCAGCAGCAGCGGTGGCGGCAGCAGCGGCAGCAGTGGCAGGAGTGGGAGGGGCAGGGGCGGGGGAAGCGGGGGTGGCTGGGGATAGCAGCGCTGGTGGAGCGGCGGCGGCTGTGGCGGCGGCGGCGGCGGCAGCGGCAGCAGCAGGGCCAGTGGCTCAGTGCCCTGTGTCTCACAAGCAGATTCAGCGGTGGGACTTGGCAGCGGCGCATTGGCTGAGAGCGGATATTCAGGCGCACCAGAAGAAAGTGGAGGCTGCTACCATCGACCGTGCTATTGAGGTCATGAGGCGACATGTTGACGCGACTGATGCTGCTGCTGCCGCCGCCGCCGCTGCTGCTGCTGCTGCTGCTGCTGCCAAGGCTGCTGGTGCTCCCCCTGCTGGCGCCAAGGCTGCTGGTGCCGCTACTGCTGCTGTTGCTGGTGCTGGTGCTGCAGCCTCTGTAGCAGCAGTGGAGGTGGATGGGGAGAGTGAAGCAGGGAGGGAAAATGAAAGGGAGGAGGAATCAGCAGGTGCAGGTACAAGCGCAGCAGCAGGGGAAGAAGCAGCAGCGGCCGCGGAGGTCACTGTAGGGGAAGAAGCCAAAGCGGAAAGGGTGGCTTCAGGGGCCGGGGCAGATGCTGCTTCAGCTACGAGCCAACCCAGTGATGCTGCTGAGAGCAAGAGCGAGAGCAGAGACGACAGCAAGGGCGAAATCAAGGGCGAGAGCAAGGGCGAGAGTGAGGGCGAAAGCAGGGACGGCAGGGAGGGGAAGGGAGGGGAGGAGCGGGTGGAACAAGCAGAAGAGGAAGGGGTGCATAAGGAGGGCAAAACAGGAGAGGCTGAGGCAGGGGCGGAGAGGGACGGGGAGGTGGAGGCGGAGGCGGAGGGGGAGGGGGAGGGAGAGGCGCAGGGGGAGGCTGTGGCGGTAGCAGTGGAGGCGGTTGAGGTGCTGACAATGAGGGACGAGCAGCTGGGGCTCAGGCTGGTGGAGGGCGGCGGGGTGCCGCTGCTGATTGCGCTGCTGGGTGCGGAGAAACGGGTGCACGTGCGCGAGCATGTGCTCCTGTCGCTGCGGAATCTGGCGTGCCTGGGAGGAGATATACAGGTGAGTGGAGAGAGGGGATGTGCAGGTGAGAGGGGATGTAGAGGTGTGTGTGTGAGCAGTGGGTTGTTCAGGTGAGACGTTGTGCTTTATTTCATGTACGAGTGTACATGCACGCACGCACGCACACACACACACTCTACTCTCCTCTCCGTTTTTTCTCTTCTCCATCACTTTTCCTTTTCTCTCTCCACACGCCAAAGCTCCTCTCCCCCACAAACCCCTGCCCATTCGCTTGCTGCCACTTAGGTTGCAAATCAACTAAACACACACAGAATGCCACCCTTTGACTCCAACGCCATACTCACCGCCAAGCCAACGCCATACTCACCGCACTGCACCGCACTGCACCGTACTCGCGTACCAGCAACGCGCTTCCTTTGACCCACTACATACGCATAACCCCAAACCCGTTACTCACATCCCACGCTACCCCCATCCCCCATCCCTCAAAACCCCAACCACCACACAACCCCAACCCCCAACCCCCCTTGTCCCCCTCATCCAAGACATGCTGATAGAGCACGGGGTGCTGCCCCCGCTGGTGGCAGTGCTGGCGGAGAATGCAGCAGACGCCATAGTGGGCGTGCAGGTGCTGCACGAGCTCGCCTCCCCTCCTTTCCGTGTGACGTGTCCCCTCTCCCCAACTCAACCCGCGCCCATACCATTCCCACGCCCCCATCCCCTGATTCTCATCCTCTTCTTCCCCCGTCCCTCCATCCCACACCTCCCTACCTTACCCACAACCCCAAACCCCAACCCTCGAACCCCAACCATCCTCATCCCCCCAGGACATGCTGATAGAGCACGGGGTGCTGGCTCCTCTAGTGGCAGTGCTGGCGGAGAATGCAGCAGACGCGATGGCGGGCGTGCAGGTGCTGCATGAGCTCGCCACGGGGGAGACGCACCGCCACGCCATCTCCGCTGCCCAGGGGGACCTCGAGCTCATCCGCCTGCGCTCCCGGCACAAGGAGGCGGGCGACCAGGTGGGTGACGGGTGGGTGGAGAGGGGTGGAGATGGGTGTGTGGGTGCATGGTTGGGCAGGGAAAGGCGTCTCTGGTGGGTGATTGCTGCCGCCAAGGCCGACCTCGAGCTCATCTGCCTGCGCTCCCGGCACAAGGAGGCAGGCGACCAGGTGCGTGGGCAGGCGTGGAGTGGAGATGGGTGGAGATGGGTGCGTGTTGGCATGGCATGGTTGGGCAGGAAAAAGCGTCTCTGGTAGGTGATTGTTGCCGCCTAGGGCGACCTGGAGCTCATCCGCCTGTGCTCCCAGCACAAGGAGCCCAGCGACCAGGTGGGTGAGAAGTGGGGGTGGCTGGGTGGCTGGGTGGCTGGATGGGTGGGAGCGGATGGGTGGTTTGGTGGATGAGTGGGATGAACGGGTGGGTGCATGCGTGAGTGACGGATGGCAGGTGGTGCATGCATGGGTGGGCACTGGGCATTGGGCAGGGGAAAGGGCCTCTGGTAGGTGTAAGTATCCTGCTGCCGAGGCTGACCTTGAGGCTTGAGAGCTCACTCACTCACTTCACTCACGTGTTTGTGATGAATGCAAGGCACATGCGTGCGGCTGTCCTGGCGACCAGGTCAGGTGGGTGCTTGCTTGTGCGTGCTGCTAACGCGTCTCTGAGAATTCTCAAGAACACTAACTACTGGCATCGGGGGTTGTGTAAACTACTAATAGACCCGCATAGCGTGACAATTGCATTGTCCATCCATTGCCCTCATCTCTGCTCCACCCTCTCTCTCCCACCCTCCCCCTCCCACTCCTTGCACCAGGTGGCGGCCTACTCGACACGGTACTGTGGCTGTTATGTCCGTCCCCTCATCTCTCCTTCACCTTCTCTCCCCCACCCCACCCTCCCCATTCCACTATCCTCCCCAACCCACCCCTCTCCCTGTACCAGGAAGCAGAGGTGTTAGAACCGGCGCTGCGAGTGCTCTCTCTGTCTGTCCTTCTCATCTCCCTTCCACCTCACTCGCACCCATGCTCTCCCACCAACCAACCCCTTCCCCCCCCCCCACGCCCCTTCCAGGTGGCGGAGCTGTTAGACACAGTGCTGCGGCTGTTCTGGGAGGGCGATCCGTCAGTGGCAGTGCACATGGCGGCAGCAGGCCTCATGGACCCTCTCGTCACGCTCATTGCGCCCGGTATGCGGTTTGTGTGCATGTGTGTTGCGGAGGTGACTTTTGAGTCCCCCGTCTCAAAAGTCACCATGTCCCCCGCCCCGTGCCTGTGCGCGGTTTGTGTGCATGTGCGTTGTGGAGGGGAGGGTGAAATCGTTTGGTGGCCATGGTGGTGTTTGGTGTGGGTGGTGTGCGTGCGTAGGTAGGTGTGGTCATGATGAACCCATACAGAGCACCGTTTTCTTCTTTTCACCAACCCCCAACCAGCAACCACTTCTCTCTATCTCTCTATAGCACATACATCGTGCTCCTTTGACACTAGCCTATCCCATCGTTACAAGGGGTTGTTGACTTAATCTCTTCCTCGTCATCCTCACCTCACCACCGCTGCTCTCATACTTCCATCCCGGGCAACGACTTGGACAGGAGTCTGCAGCACACGCCCGAGCGCGTTCATGTCCTGCAGCATTACATTACCCAGGCCTCCCGTTCCCACTCCCCTCCCCTCTCTTCGCCCCTCCTCCCCACCCCCACCCCCCGCGTCCCTCCCAGGCAACGACATGGACACGGTTCTCTTGATGGCGGACGCTGTTATGTCCTGCGGCATCACCAAGGTCTCCCGCATCGCTCATTGCCCTTCGCTCCCGTTCCCTCTCCTCCCCTCCCCTCACCCCTTCCCACCCCTCCCAGGCAACGACATGGACACAGTTCTGCTCATGGCCGATGCAGTCATGTCCTGCGGCATCACCAAGGTCTCCCGCATTGCGCTCGTGCAAGCAGGCGTCCTCCCGCCGCTCATCCACATGCTCTCGCACGCGCCCCCCAACGCGCGCACCATGGCCGCCCGAGCCATAGAGCACCTCTCCCACACCGAAGCTAACCGCGTGGCCCTCGCCAAGGCTGGAGTCATCCCCGCCCTCGTCCGCTGCCTCGGCCGAACCATGCCGGGCGAGCTGCGCGGCGCGGCCCAAGCCACCCTCGCGAACCTAGCCATGGACGACCAGGATTTAGAGACTCTGGATGAGGAGGGGACGGTTGTGCGGCTGCTTACTATGCTCCGTGTCGGGCCTGCGACGAGTCGAGAATACGCGGTGAAGACTCTAGAGTTTGTCACTCGAGACGAGGAGAATCGGCACATGAGAACAACTGTGCTGGAGGATGAAGGGGCAGTGGGGGCGATAGTGTCCGCGCTGAGCGATGCCGTGCGGGCTACAGGCGGGGCTGTGAGCTCCACGCATTTCACCGCGGGGGCTTTAAGAGCCAGCGCGCTGCTGCTGCTGCAGCACCTGGCGAAAGAGCCGATGGCGGCGGCGGCAATGGCGTCTGTACCGGAGGCAGTGCCGCTGCTAGGGCAGCTGCTGGTGCTGGCACTGCCGCAGGATGAGCATGAGGCTGTGGTGATGGTTCTCGGGGCTATGGCTGCGGATAAGGGGATGAGATGGCGCGTGCGGAAGCTGCGGCATTTGCTGCTGTGTATGAGGAGGTTGCTTCCCGGGGCTGATGCAGCCATTGCTGCTGCTGCCGCTGCTGCGAAATCAGCAGCGGCGGGAGGAGGTGGAGGAGCAAGCGGAGGAGCAGCAGGGCTGCTTCAGCAGCAGCAGCAGGTGGGAGCGGGTGACGGGGCTGCTGCTGCTGGAGTGGCAGGTACGGGGCGGCTTGTGGGACGGGTGTTTGGTGGGGGAAGGAAGGGGGGTAGTGGTGGCGGGTCGTCTCTGTTAGGGTCGTCCCTCCTGAGTGGAGGTGTGAAGAAAGGAGGCCGATCCGGTCTTGGTCTGAACAAAAGCAAAGGGGCGGGTGGTGGTGGTGCAGGTGGTGGCAGTGGCAGTGGCAGTAGAGATGGCAAGGGGGGATCGGATGGTGGCTCTGCTGCTGCTTCTCAGGCTGCTGCTGCTGCTGGTGCTGCTGCTTCTGGTGCTGGTGCTGGTTCTGGTGCTGGTGCTGCTGGTGGTGCTGCCGGTGCGGCTGGTGTCGGGGGTATGGGCATGGGGGGAGTGTCATGGGCCGATTACCTTCCAGATAACTCCGAGGGGGAAGAGGAGGAGGACGACAATGAGGAGGAACAGGGGAGCAACAAAGGAACTGCTGGAGCTGCGAGCAACATCAACAGCAACAGCAGCATCCGGCCTGGAATGAATATCTTTGGTGCTGTGTCAAGACCAAAGCCAAAGGCTAAGCCTTCCAGTGTCCCCTCCTCTGTAACCTTCAGTCTTCAGGACAACGCCAGCAACATCAACGACAGCAACAGCAGCAGCAGCAACAACAGCAGCAGCACAGGCCTTCACACTATCAACAGCACAGCCTCTTCCTTTAATGCATCCTCCTCCTCCACTTCCTCCGCATCCTCCACCTCCTCTCTCTCCACCTCCTCTCTCTCTGCCTTTGGCCCTGCCGTGCGCCCTGCAATGCGCCCCCCTCCCCCTCCCGCCATTCTCGAAGCCAACTCGCTCCTCCTCCTCTCCTCCTCCGCCCGCCCCGCCTCCTCCATAGCCGTGCAAGAAGCCGTCCTACGTGGCGTCGCGGCATTGGCCGACCCCGATGACCCGACAATGCAGCAAGAGGTGGCACGGCTGGGCTTCCTCCCTCTCGCCGTGCATCACCTGAGGGTCGGTCCCGACGCTCTCCGTATCCCCGCTGCCCGCTTGCTGGAAAACCTCTCTCTTTCCTCCCCACGCCTCTCCCGCCTCCGTGCCCTGGCCCACTCCTCCCCTGCCGCCGCCGCCGCTGCCGCTGGTGCTGCTGCTGGGCCTGGGCTTGGGCATGGGGTTGGTGCTGGTAACGGAGCAGCAGGAGTGGGAAGAGCTGGAGCTGCTGCTGCTGCTGGAGGGGGCTTTGGGCAGGGGCTGGTGGCGCCTGGTTTGGCAGGGTTTGGGATGACGGGTCAGGCTAGTCAGCAGCACTGTTACTCAGGGCCGCTGAGCTCCTGGCAGGAAGCAGAATCACCCGTGGGTGATGCTGGTGCTGGGGGTGGGGGTGGGGGTGGGGGTGGGGGTGGGGGTGGGGGTTGGGGTGGAAGGGAGGGGAAGGATGTGGGAGTGGTAAAGGGAGTGGGTACAGGTGTTGCCAGGGGGAACCTGAGAGGGGAGGCTGGTGCTGCAAGGGAGTCGGTGCCTAGCTGTGCTGGTAGTGATCCGCAAGTGGGGGCAGCTGCTGCTGCTGTTGCTATTAAAGCTGTGAACTGGCAGGGAGAAGGGGGAGAAGGTGGTCGAGAGGAGCCAGGAGCAGGAGGAGGAGGAGGAGGAGGAGGAGGAGGAGGAGGAGGAGGAGGAGGAGGAGGAGGAGGAGGAGGAGGAGGAGGAGGAGGAGGAGGAGGAGGAGGAGGAGGAGGAGGAGGAGGAGGAGGAGGAGGAGGAGGAGGAGGAGGAGGAGGAGGAGGAGGAGGAGGAGGAGGAGGAGGAGGAGGAGGAGGAGGAGGAGGAGGAGGAGGAGGAGGAGGAGGAGGAGGAGGAGGAGGAGGAGGAGGAGGAGGAGGAGGAGGAGGAGGAGAAGCAGAAGGAGGAGATAAACGGGTGGGTGGGGAAGGGGTTAGCTTGAGGCAAGAGCTTGAGAACAGTGACATGCAACAACAAAAAGAAGCTCAGCAGCAGCAGCAGCAGCAGCAGCAGCAGCAGCAGAGCACGAGTGGGGCGAATCCAGAAGGCTCAAACACAGCCTGGAACTTCCTGGATGAGCAAGAGAGTACAACCCCTGCAGAGCCGCAGCAAGCTGACGACAGCAAAAGAGCAGGCTCGATACTCGATAACACGCCCAACGCTCCGAGCGATAGCGGTGGCGTGGGTGGCGTGGGTGGTGTGAGTGGCGTGAGTGGGGGGAAAGGGGTGAGGGCGCGGAGAGGAGGGCCTGCACTGAACCTGCAAGTGGGTCAGCATTCCGCAGCAGCGCTGCTCTCCCCCCGCGTCTTCTTCCCCTTCCACACAGCCCTCTCCCCCCGCCAGTCCCCCTCCCCAACCTCCGCGGCGGCACAGCAGAGGGGCACAAAGGCTGGGGGAGCAGGGTTTCAGAGCTCTAGTGGAACGGGTGCGGGTGGTGCAAGTGGTGGGGGTGGTGGTGGTGGGGCTAGTGCGGCAGGTGGTGCGGCTGGTGGTGGGGGTGGTGGTGGGGGTAAGCGGGGTCTCATATCGAGGCACAGGAAGAGCAACAGCGGCAGTGCGTTTGACCTGTTTGGGAGCGGCTCGCACATGCGAGGCAGCAGCGACTCCAGCAGCAACGGCAGCTTGTTGTCATCGGGTCCCAACCTCTCCGCCTCCTTCCACCATGCATCCCTCGACTTCGGCCACCACTCCCAACCACCCCACCCGCTCACTCACATTCCCGACTTCAGCCTTACAGAATCACCAGATTCCGCCGACGCACCGGCGCTTCTAAGCCCGCTCCCTCCCACCGACCCCCACTCCTCCTCCTCTTCTCTCTCCACCCGCGGCCTTCTCTCACGCAACATGCGTCTCCCGTCCCTCCTCGGCCTCCCCCAGCTCTACCGCTCCTGCAAGGTTCACGGCGGCAAGTGCTCCCTCCCCACCACCTTCTGCCTTCTCGACGACAACCTAATTGACGTGCTCCTAGAGCTCGTCCGCCGCGCCACCACCAGCGTCGCAGAGGTCTCTCTCGCCGCCGTCGCGAGCCTTATAGCCGACGACGCATGCCACGAGCGCGCGGCCGAGTTTTTGGTGAAGCGGGATGCGGTGGAGGTGGCGGCCACGATGGTGGGGCGGTCGAAGGAGCTCACGCGCGTGGGCGTGTATATCCTCGAGAGGATCTTCGCGTTTGGCAAGTTCCGCAAGCCCAAGTACTCCCAACCGGCGGTGGCGGCGCTGGGTCGGTTCATGACGACGGCGTCTGGGCAGTCTAGAAAGACTGCTGCGGAGACGCTCATGCGCCTAGGGATCCTGCCTAAGGGGTCGCTTACTATGGACTTGTGATGGGAAGCGGTGGGATGGGATGGGAGGCAGTGGCGGCGCTGGGGAAGTTCATGACGACGGAGTCTGGGCAGTCCAGGAAGACTGCTGCGGAGACGCCCATGTGGCTTGGAATCCTGCCCAAGGGGTCACTCGCCACGGACCTGTGATGCGGTGGGATGGGATGGGATGCGGTGGATTGGGTTGGGTTGGGATGGGATGGGATGTTGCAGAGAAACTGCTTCTTCTGCCGCCGTACCAGTACCGTACCGTACAACTGAGTTTGAGTTGCGTTGGAATGGAATGACCTGGTGATTTGGCAGGCAGGCAGGCAGGCAGGCAGGCAGGCAGGCAGATCCTGCTAGGTTGTTTGTCACGATATTGGTAGGGGGAAAAAAGGCCACTGGTACAGGACAGGATTATTGCAGCGAATGCTTCAAAGAGTTCAGTTGAGAAAGTGTGGACTGAACATGTTACATGGTCCTAGTAGTACCATCATACAGGATTCAGAGTACAGGAGTGCCTGTCCTGCCTGCCTGCATAGGGTAATTGGAAATGGAGTGTTGTCAAGTCCCTGCACTGCACTGTCTAATGTCCATGCCCTTCCTTCCTCCTTCCTTACCCCTCACAGATACGGTATATCCGGATCCCACTGTATCAGGAGATAGGCTTTTTTCCACCGCACTAAATTACCGGTACAAGGCAAACTTGCACCAGACCAGACTGAACAATAAGTCTGAAATATATCACAAGGCATTCTACATTTGCAAGAAACCATCTGTGTGGCAGGTACAGTATTTCTCCAAAAACTAATAAAGCATTCCTGTATGGCAGTGAACCGGCAGGCCTGCACTAGCAATTGATCTCCACACCCATGGCAGCCTGCCGGGCAGCAAGGGCTCTCTTTGAAAAGAAGTGGCGTGTGGGGGGTCGATTCTTGAGGCGCCTCAGCAACTGCGGCAGTTTGAAGGCCAGCAGCAGCAGCACTGCCAGTGGAAGCAGCAGCAACAGCAGCAGGTTTTGAGGCGTGTGGAGAGCAGACAGAGCCATCTCCATGACTGCTGTGCCTGGTGGCTCAGAGGGTGGGTTGGGTGTAGAAAGTGATTTTTTTCAGACTCCTCAAAAGTACAGTTTGAGGCGTGTGGAGAGCAGACAGAGCCATCTCCACGACTGCAGTGCCTGGTGGCTCAGGGACAGGGTTGGGGAAATAGAGAGTTATTTCCACGAAACGGATGGGCTACATACAAGCAGTGCGGATGGGCTCTACAGGCAGCGCGGCATGGGAGGTTGTGAGTTTACTGGCCCTCCATAGACAGACGGCCTTTGAGCAATGTGGTAACAGGTTTCGATTCATCAGAATAGGAAAGCAGGCATCAGCCAGCGAGGGCATTAGCAGCAGCAGCAGGCGTACCGTGAGGGACGCACGTGCCAGCCTTCGGCCCTGGCGTGTACCCCTCATCACAGACGCACTGGCCCTCGGGTTCAACAGAGGGGAGTTCGGAATGATCAGGCTCGAAGGAGCACACGCCATGGCCGCTGCACGGCGGGGTGAGCGGCTGCGCCCCACAGAACGCCCGGCACTCGCTGGCTCGCCTCTGCCTCTGATCAGAGCCGCAGACGACTGAGTCGTTTGCAAGGCAGTTGCGGCTGAACAGACACAAGCTGTGGTAGTCTGCAGGATTGTCTAGGCCGGTGGCATCGAAAGGGACAGCGTCTGCTGTGGCTGTGAGGCAGTTGTGGTCTGCAGACAGCCCGTATTTTGAGGCGAGACGGGCCATGTGGTAGAAAGAGGGCAGCTCTCCCGTAAGCTGGTTGCTGTCAAGCCAGCTGTGAGGCGGGAAGAGGTGGGACGAGGTGGGAAGGCAGAGGAGTGGGTGACGAGGTTGGCACTCTTCAAGTCCAGCCGCAGCCTTCAGCAAGCAGAAAGGGAGAGAGGTGCAAGTCGCAGAAAACAGGCTAGTACAGGCAGTAAAGGTGGTCTTTTTACAGGGAAGAGGAGATGGGTAGCAGTAGTGCTAACTGCTGTGGGTGTCTGAAAGGGAGAGAGGTGTGGGTGGCTGAAAGGGAGAGAGGTGTGGATGGCTGAAAGGGAGAGAGGTGTGGGTGGCTGAAAGGGAGAGAGGTGTGGGTGGCTGAAAGGGAGAGGCGTGGGTGGCTGAAAGGGAGAGAGTTGTGGGTAGCTGAAGGGAGGGGGCGTGCGAGTCGCAGAAAACGAGGTGCTGCAAGCAGTAAGTGTGGCGTTTTTTCAGAGAGAAGAGATGGGCAGCAGTGGTGCTGACAGTTGTTGGAGGTGAGATGAGTGCACGTAGTGCCTGCAGCTGGTGACTCTAGAGACATGCCTTTAGAGTTGATTCATCAGCAGGCAACACAACCAGGTTGCTTGTAAGTGTAGTCAAACACTCCACCATTCAGGGATGGCACTTGGGTGTTGGGACGTCCGAGGCGGTAACACTGACAGGTATTCGAGATTAGTGAGCGTGGTGATTGCAGCAGGTATCGTCCCTGCAAGTCGATTCTCGCTGAGTCCCCTGAAGACAGGTGGGTGGATGGATGGACATTGAGGGAAGGAGAGAAGAAGAGGGGAAGAGGTGACAAGACGAGACGAAGAGGGAAAGAGGGAAAGAGGGGAAGAGGATAAGAGAAGAGGAGAGGAGGAGAGGAGGAGAGGAGAACTGGAGGAGAAGTGAAGAAGAGAGGAGGAGAAGTGTGTGCCTTGAGAAACACACACACGCACCAGCGGACGAAACTGAGGTCAACAAAAAGTGCTCCGTACTCTCATATTCAATGCCTTCGTCTCCTCCCCCTCCCTCTCCCTCCCTCTGATTCCGACCCTCATCCTACTCACATCCAACTCGCCCTCTCAAACAACCAATGCTTGGCAGAGTGAGGCAGGCAGAAAGAAGGGATGGACGGTGAGGTGGGAGTGGAGGGAGAATGGGCGCACAGGTTGGTGAGAGCGGTGAGGTGGGTAATGAAGGTGGGAATGGTGCCACTCAGCTTGTTGCCCTGCAGCTCCCTGCCATGGCATGGCATGGCATGGCATGGCATGGCATGGCATGGCATGGCATGGCATGGGATGGCATGGGATGGCATGGCATGGGATGGCATGGGATGGGATGGGATGGGATGGGATGGGATGGGATGGGATGGGATGGGATGGGATGGGATGGGATGGGATGGGATGGGATGGGATGGGATGGGATGGGATGGGATGGGACGGCACAGACGGGCAGGTAACTAGCCCATAGGGATGCATCCACTCATTTTCTCAAGCACACATTCCCTCAGTCACTCATCCTCTCACCCACTCACGCACTCACACCTTCACCACGTCACTGACTCGCCCACCCTCTCTCTAGGCCTCTCACTCTCCCACTTACTTGCTCACTGAGGGGACCTATGAGGCTACCACACCTGTTCATCCCACAGCACCTTGCAAGCCTTCCCCATCACCACTCACAACTCCCTTAGCTCCTTGAGGCTGCTGATTGCCTCTGGAATGGAGCCTGAGAGACTGTTGCGGTTGAGATTCCTGGAGCATGGAGAGGGGAAGGTTCAGGGTTTCGGGTTAAGCATTGAACGCAGGGAGGTGGAAGGCAGGGAAAGGGAGTGAAATGATGACTAAGAGGATTGAATGTTGGGGTGAATGGCGGGGTGAATGGAGGGGTGAATGGAGGGGTGAATGGAGGGGTGAATGGCGGGGTGAATGGTGGGAGCAGTGCAGAGCTCTTTTCTTCTATTGCTGTGACATGGTGTCTTTTCGTTTCTTGTGCAACAAGGTGTGATGTGTCCTGTGTCATGTGTGATGTGTCTTGTGTCGTGTGTTTCATGTGTCATGTGTCGTGTGCCATGTGTCATGTGCCGTGTGTCGTGTGATTGCTTTACAGCTGACTGGGAGGTGGAGGGCGCACAGGGTGGTGAGTGCGGTGAGGTGGGCAATGGAGGCAGGAATGGTGCCACTCAGCCTGCTGTCCTGCAGCTCCCTGCCATGGCATGGGATGGGATGGGATGGGATGGGATGGGATGGGATGGGATGGCATGGGATGGGATGGGATGGGATGGGATGGGATGGCATGGGATGGGATGGGATGGGATGGGATGGGATGGGATGGGATGGGATGGGATGGGATGGGATGGCATGGGATGGGATGGGATGGGATGGGATGGGATGGGATGGGATGGGATGGGATGGGATGGGATGGGATGGGATGGGATGGCATGGGATGGGATGGGATGGCATGGGATGGGATTGATTGTAGATGCACAGAGAGGGAGCGATTAGCGCATGCATCGGTTAAACGTGTTTTGCATGCCTCTTGCACCCTCCCATGCAAACATGCACGCACACCACACGCGCCAACAAACACAAAACCCAGAATCTTCTATCTACCCCACCCACGCACGCACCCGACAATCCCTAACCAGCACACAGGCATGGGCGACCACAGGCCAGCCCGCGCACACCACCACCACAACCACAAGCCCATGCCCAACAGCATGATGTGCTGAAGCGTGCGTGATGAGGTGGATGGGGGGGATGGGGGGGATGGGTGGGATGGGGGGGATGGGGGGGATGGGTGGGATGGGGGGGATGGGGGGAATCGGGGGGATGGGGGGGATGAGCTACAGCATGTGTGAATGTGGTGCATCCAACACTGGGCATCCCTATTCGCATCCCACTAGCAACATTGCGCATCCCTCGCTCTTCCTTACAGGTCTTCCAGGTTGGTGAGCGCTCCTATTTCCTCGGGGATGGACCCTGAAAGCTCCTCCTCCTGAAGGACTCTGCAATCAAGTGCGGCCCAGTGCGGTGAAGTGTGGCAGAGAGAGGAGCGGTGGAGGTGGATTAAGGCGTGGAAAAGGTGATATCACGGATGGCCCCACACGCACTGGGAGTGCACTGCAGCACCAGCAGTGCAGATATTGTCAGTGCATGTGTCTGCTTTATATGTGTCTGCTCTGTATGTGTCTGCTCTGTATGTGTCTGCTGTGCGTGTGCCTTGCAGCGCACCACTCACAGCTTC